ACCTGGCGCCTATGGTATAAGCAATGAACGGCTCTGGCTCCGGCTCCCCGCCGCACACACCTCACCCCGGGGGTGTCCTTGCCCCCTAGGTGTTGCGAATGACTATCCAGAGCCTGGACGGGGAAGGGTCCCCGCAGCAGCTCTCCATACGCGGGAAAGAAAAGACCGGCACTTTCTACGTCACAGCAGGGATCAACTCGTCAGCCCGCCTATGGTATAAGCAATGAACGGCTCTGGCTCCGGCTCCCCGCCGCACACACCTCACCCCGGGGGTGTCCTTGCCCCCTAGGTGTTGCGAATGACTATCCAGAGCCTGGACGGGGAAGGGTCCCCGCAGCAGCTCTCCATACGCGGGAAAGAAAAGACCGGCACTTTCTACGTCACAGCAGGGATCAACTCGTCAGCCACCGTGGTCTACGACTACCGCCACGTAAGCAGGGCCAACGGGGCAAAGCTGGGTGAGGGCTCCGGGGAGCGTCCCCGGCTCGGCTCAGACCTCAGGCAGGCTGGGACCCGGCTGGCCGCAGGCTGGAATCGCTGGAGGCGACCTCGCATGAGCGGTAGAGGAGCCGGGGTTACTTTCCGCCGGGCCCACATCGCCGTCCCAGAGGTACCCAGAGGTCCCAGTGCTGCACCCCAGAGACGAGCAGCGTAAACCCCAAGATCTGCGCGTGCCCCAGGTTTGGGGTGTTCCGAGTCCCACCGTGGGTTTTGGTCTTGCAAATGCAATCTCCAAGGAGGCTTGGATCCCGTTTCCAGCGACCCAGCCCCCCACGCTGCGGACAGGGACACATCGGCCCGGCCCTTCTCCAGCGGAGGGGGCAGGAGGCTGCCGGGCTGAGCAGAGGGGACGGAGAGGGGCACAGTGGGGGAAACAGAAGGGGCCGGTTTGCAGGGTGATTTGGCTCCCGGGGATCTGCCAGGGTTTAACGTCACCCTCTGCTCCGCCTGCAAACAGCTGCTGATCGGCTACCGATCCTGGCCGGGCCGGGCCTGCTACCTCCGCCGGATGGACCCGGAGAACATTCCAGGCCTGGATGCTATTGCCAAAGCCTTTCAGCACCGCCAGGTGAGCGGCTGGGGCCAAAGGGGGCAGAGGAGAGCGCGGGGAAGGGCCGTGAGACGCTTGTGAGAGATGAAAACCCGGCGGAGGCCGCTCGGAGTCCCTGGGAGACCGTCGCACCGGCGGGCTGAGCTCCCCCGGGAATCAGTCCTAGAGACAAACCCAGGAAGGAAGCAACCGGGGAGCATTTCCCGGCGCAGAGCTGGCATTGCCGGGAGCCCGCGGGGGCCGCGGTCTACCCCTCGCCTCCCTGCTTTCACTGCTAGGCGACGCTGCCTCTCTCCTGTGCCAGATGGATCAATGTATTGGCAAGGAAGGCTCATCTAATGTTTGAGTAAAGGGAGTATTGCTAATGAGCATTATTCCCTCTCCTTTTTTCAATCCTCGCGCGCCTTTCTCCATCCATGTGTGGAATAACATTTTTTCTACGCACCAAGGCATGTGCAAATGTGCACCACCAGCAGAGACACACCACCTCGCTGTGGGGGCTCTGCGAATCAGCAGGGTGGATTTGAATCTCTTCTGTGTGGTTGCACAAGTGCCCAGCATACAGGGAACCGTGCGCGTAGGGGATAAGAGTGGTGGATGGTTTGGCTGTCCTGCCACGGCCCAGGATACTTCCTTGGCTGTTCCCAAGCACCGAAGCTCAGTTTCCACCGCAGGAAAACAAAAGGACGACAGCCCGTCTGTAACGATTAGCATTGACCGTTCCTGTAATGGGGCGGTGGTGGGGGAGCAGTGCGCATCTAACTATTATTTCTTGACCTAGCTCGGACCGAGTGAAGAGCCGGAGGAGGGCGGGTTTCCAGCACCCCAGGCCAATCGCTCCGCGTTGGGCACCACTGTTAATATCCTCTGCAGCAACGTTCCCATCTACTGGGCCTAGACAGGCTCAGGTGGGTGAGCAGCAACGCAGCTCCGTATCGGAAGGGGAGCCGGGTTTACTGTCTGTCAGTGCTGTCTGTCTGTCTGTCTGTTACACACACAGCTGCAAAAAGCTCCCCCCACCGCCCATGCACAGAATTGTAAAGGCAACAAGTCCTTTACCGGAGATCAACCAAATCCCGTCCCAAGCATCCAATCCGGAGCACCAGGCTCCGGGCAAGCGGGATGCAGAATATCTCCAGCCGGCTGGGAAAAGCCGCAAGACTTCCACCCGCTCGGCGCAGACTCAGCAGGCTGGAGGCTCTCGCAGCCTTTCGCCGTCCCCTTAGCAGCATCGCTGCCAAGTCTGACGTGGGCCCAGGTGGAATCAAGCTTGAAAATCCAAGGGATGCAGGGAATGGCTTTCTGGCAGCCCTTTGGCTTGTTCCTCTGGCTGGGAAGGTGGCTGAGGGAAAGGCCTGGCTTTCCTACCTGGCGTGGGAAGTGTCCAAATGCCACACGGTAGCCTTGTGGTTCGGACACTGGCCTGCGGAGAACAGCATTCCCTGTGCTAAGCCCAGTCTGACGGCTCCAGACTCTCACTGAAATCCCCCCAAAAATCCAACCCTTATTCTCTCTGGCTATGTCTACACTACAGAGTTTTTTCGAAAAAATGTTGTCCACACTTCAAATGTGTTTTTGTGCAAAAAAATCGAAAAAAAGGAGGCTTTTTCCGGCATAGGTGTTCCTCATTCTGCGAGGAAGAGCCTCTTTTTGCATAAGAGCTCTTTCGCAAAAAGGCGTGTGTGGACGGGGAAGAGGGGCTTTTTGCGCAAAAGGAGGAAAAAGGAAAAAGCAGAGGTGCTCTGGTGGCCATTCTGTGCATAGCAATTAGAGCTTACTTTTGAGAGAGCGTCCATGCGGTCTGGATGCTCTCTTGCACAAAAGCGCATCGCTTTTTCGTGGCCGCAGATGACGTCATCAATGCGCTTTGGCAGTGTGGATGTGCTGTTTCCAAAAGAAGCCTGCAGTCTAGATGTAGCCTCTTTGCCTCAGTTCTCCCATCTGAGAAATGGGGATAAGGGCATTTCCTTTCGCCTGCGAGCTCTTTTGGGGCACGGACCTTCTGTACAGCCCCTTGCGCAATGCAGCCCCCAACCTCAACTGGGAACATGGGCATGGCCATCGAGCAAATAAAAAGCAGAGAGACAGACAACAGAGGAGGTGGCTTTCTCTGTGTAGGTTTCTTTGAGCCACATTAGTCACAGCCCGAATGCCTCACGCACCTCCATTTACCTTGCAGGTCCCCATGCTGTCTGAGCTTTGCCTTCCTGCCATCGCTTCCCAGGTGGGCCCGGTGCCCCGACAGCCAGCGACCTCTCCGCAGCCTGGGGCTTCTCTCTTACGACGATGCTGCCCTTCCGCGCACCCTCCATGCTGGGCAGCGGGCTCCGGCGCTGGCCGAGGGCCGGCGGGCAGGTGGCTGCGGGGTCTCCAAACCGCTGCAACGCTTTTGTTTTCTTGCCGTTCGAAGCAGCTGGGAATTTCCGGGTGGCACTTGCAATAAAACAAGATTTTCACCTACGAGTGTCTGCTTCTGTCTGAAGAGTAAAACCCCCCGAATCCACCTGTGGCTTCCTGGATTCTCCTCGCGGGGAGATTTGTCCTTTCCCTGCCGGACCCTGCCCTATGGCATTGATGTAATCGGAACGGCTCAGTTTCGGGCTCAGAACACGGAAACGGGCGCTCAGCCCACCGGGCTGGAATGCTGGGAAATTCACACTTAGGGAGAGGCAGTGATGGCTAGTGGCTAGAACACTGGACTGGGGGTCAGCTCTGCTACTGACCTGCCAGCTGACCATGGGCCAGGGCACCTCCTAAGAGGGCTAAAAGGACATCAGTGCCTGGACCATGTGCTGGCCCCTCTGCACAAGCGGATTGTCCCTGGCCATGCATGATCACTAGGCAAATTTCAGTGCAGCTGGGACACAGATAATGCATCCGGTTATTGCATCGATCCTGGAGCTGGCTTTGTACGCAGGCAGGGTGATTATAGGATCGATAATAACCGGGGCCGAGATTTGCAGCCTTACCATAGGGATTTAGACACGGAATTCCCCAAGAAACAAATGGAAAACCCCCAGCTGTGCTGTTACCCTCAATCTGGGATAAGAAAATCTTGTTCTGTGGGGACTAAGTGTGTTCTGGGGGCGGGGAGAAATATAAATACACACACACATACACACACAGCATTTGCTCATGTGCACCCACACACACTGAGCATTGCACACACACACATACAGCATTGCACATGTGCAATATACACACACAGAGCATGCACACACACAGCATTGCACGTGTACCCCCACACACAGAGCATTGCACATATACACACATACAGCATTGCACACATATACACAGAGAGCATTGCACATGTGTACCCACACACACAGAGCATTGCACACACACATGCAGCATTGCACATGTGCACCCACACATACAGCATTGCACATGTGTACCCACACATACAGCATTGCACACATATACACAGAGAGCATTGCACATGTGTACCCACACACACAGAGCATTGCACACACACAGCATTGTTGTGTTCCCTCTAGCAGCCAGTACTGTCCACTGTGAACACCGGGACACACTGTCCTTGGTGGGTGGGCAGACAGATCCGTTGCAGTGACTCCCGTGTCCCTGTACTTCTAATCTCTCTGTGATGCACCAGGCTCTTTCTGCAGCATCAAGGGCACCTGGTGCTGGTACAGGACTCTCGAGATGGGGATCATACGGCCCAGCCGCTGCCCCAACCATGCACAAACCTACCCTGCAAGCTGAGTGGGTGCTGAGCAGGCTGGGTCACCACGCACAGGAAGCTCTCCGCTATTCCCTCTGATCATTTCCATCCATGTGTGGAATATTTTTTCTCTGTGCACCCAGGCATGGGCGAATGTGCACCACCAGGAGAAACACAAAACCTCACTGTGGGCTCTCTGCTCATCAGTTGGGTGGCATCTGACTCTCCTGCGGGGCTGCACAAGCACACGGTCTACAGGGAAACTGTCAGAGTCAGGAGAAACATCCCCTGCAGAAAGTTCCAGCTGTTCCCCTTTCATTACTGAATCCAGTGAGAAATGACTTGGCTTGCTCCCAGGCCCGCCGGGGGTAGAGGAACAACAGGGGGCATCTGTACCTGAGACTCAGCATAGACATCCCAGTGTGTGTGTATGTTTCCACACATGACTCTGTGTGTGTGTGTAGATAGGTGTGTTTGGGCATGCTTATCTGCACATGGGGGGGGGGGGCATGCACAGGAATGTGTGTATATGAGTGTGAGTGTAACTACTACCAGACAGATTTGAACCTGAGTCCTCTAGAGCTGAGTATCGGAGACTCTACCCCCTGAGCTAAAAGCCAGCTGGCTCCCAGCCTGTGCTGATGATCTACCCCCTGAGCTAAAATAAAAGATCCTCCGGAAAAGGGCTTATTTTCCGGAGAATCACGTCTAGACTGCCGCTTTTCTCTGGCTTATCCCCAAGCCGGAAAAAAGCAGCAGCCATGTTAATGCAAATACCGCGGGGGATATTTAAATCCCCCGCGGATTTTGCTATTCCAAAGTGTCTCATTAGCATCCTTTTTCTGGAAAGGGATGCCAATGTAGACACAGGCTAGGTGTGTGGGTTACATAAGCATGCATGTGTGCGTGCGTGTGTGTGTGTGTGTGTGTGTGTGTGTGCAGTGCTCACCCAGCACTTTGTGTGTGCCTATGTGCATGCAAGTGAGTGCGTGTACTATAGCATGCACACCTTTGGGTGTGCGTAAGCAGGCGGGCTGGCATACATATGTGTACAACAGTGGTGTCCTGCGTGCCTGTATGAGTGAGTGCGTGCAGAGCCGGGTGTGCGCACGTGTTGCACGGTGGGCGTGCGCACACACTCCTACAGCACGCTTACGGAGGGATTACACTGGAGCTGCACAGCCGTGTTACAGCCTCGCTCTGCAGCCCTGGCAAGGGAACACAAGAACAGCTGCCAAGGACAGAGACTCCCTATTAGCTACCTAGCGGAAAGCACGGCCGTGGGGCTGCGCATCCTGAGCTCCGGGGCATTCAGAGCCCACACCGCAGCCTAGCGCCAGCTGCTTTAGGAAACAGGCAATGGAACAGGAATTTTTCATGCGGTCCCCTCCTGGAACGTGGCCGCTGTAGCGTCGGATGGAGCTAGCCAGAGGCTGAACGCTAACAGGGTCGGGGGAAGCTGGCGGGCAGGGTCAAATCTTGCCTAAAGCTGGCGGATCCCACGCAAGGAGAAGGGGGCCATGCCCCAGTTTCCTACCCGCGACTGGCCAGTTAAACGAGAGCTCAGGGCCCAGCTGCAGGTGGCAGAAGCCTGGGAAACAGCCACCAGCCCTCTGA